ATATATATATATATATATATATATATATATATATATATATATAGAGAGAGAGAGAGAGAGAGAGAAAGCGAGAGAGAGAGAGAATATATGTTTATTGTCCAAGTTAAAATACTTATTGACAAACACAATATTGTTATACAAAGCACAAATAAATAAATAGTCATTAAAATATAAACAAACATTATTATAAATTAACATTAATACATACATTTAAAATAAAATAGAACAAAACAAAATAAAACACATATCACAGTGTCTCGTCATTATAAAATTCTGTAATATCATAATAAGGCCTAGTTAACAGAAATTCCTAAGCAGCTTTTTAAAACAATTCTGTGACTCCACATCTGTCATCTGTCTGTTGTACATCTTGATATATAAAAGAGTCTCTTATAAGTTCAGTTTTGGGAATAGCAACTTCAAGTCACCCGTTTGGCGAGTTAGTCGGGATATATTCGATTTAAATTTCGACTTGTTCTTATGGATCATGTAACAAGTTTCTAAGATAAATAAAGAAGTTAATGTTAATATTTCTTGTTTTAAGAACAGCGGTCTACATGAAACTAATCTGTCTGCTCCACATAAGAACCTTATTGCCCGTTCATAAAGACTATAACTCGGTTTTAAAGGATTTGAGGTCATTACCAATATTTGCATAAAGAATATTGACGTCTTTATTATGTCACAAGATAGTAGTATCGTCAGCAAATAGAGTTAAACTTCCTGAGATATTTAACTTATCTAAATCATTTATATAAATTAAAAACAGGGTGGGCCCAAGAACAGAACCTTAAGGGACACCCCAGTTTATGTCACTTGTTTTCGAGTCTGAAACAGTTCGGACTGTTTGCGACCTAAAAGGTAGGAAGGATTTCATCCAACTCAAGGGCACATCACTTATGCTATAAACTTCAAGCTTTCGCGGCAGTACTCCGTGGTTGACACAATCCAAAGCTTTAGTCAGATCACAAAATACTGCAGCTACGGCCTCGTTGAAATTTATACTTGTATAGGCTAATTTCAAACGAGAAGAAACAGCATCCGATACGTTTTTGTTGTGTTGAAAACCGAATTGATTTATGTCCAGTATATTATTTTGGTCTAGATATCTAACTAGTCAAGTCTCCTTAATATAATGGAACCACAACACTCGTTTTAAGAAAAGGAGGATTAAAACTTTTATTTAATAAAATGGATAAAACGTCTAATGCAGAGGTAGGTAAGTTTTGAAATACTTTTACTGACATTCCATCATATGCTGATGCAGTTTTGTTGTGTATGTCATTAAAAACTTTTAATATTTCTAAGGAATTTATTTCTCTTAAAATAAAATGAATATTTAATTGGTGACGATTTTACAAATTCTAATGGGTCAATTAATCTATTTAGATTTTTTGTTAGATTTTCAGCGATATTGCAATAAAATGTAATGAAATCGTTAGGATTTATATTTGCATTGCATGATTTATGGGTACTTTTGCCTCTCAATTCATTAATAATATACCAAGTTTCCCTTGCCTTAATTTTTGAGCTCTCAATTCTTGTATGATAATACATATCTTTAGCTTTTCTAATAAGTGTTCTATATAAAGTTCTGCAGCGATAATAGTTTAAAAATAATTCAGTTTGCGTAATTTCTTTTATATAATTGAGAGATCTCATATTTTTTGATATGCATCTTAAACCAGCTGTAATCCACAGCTTTTTTGTTTAATTTTTATTATTTGAATAGGGAAAAGACGCATTAAAAAATTTGCTTAAGTTTAAATAAAAATCGTTAAAAGGAGATATACCAGAAAAGCAACTGTACCAATTAAATTTTTTCCATACTGAATGAAATTTTCCATTATTAGATTTACTAAACAATCGGCCATGACGAGAATTAGTTTTAGGAAGCTTGTACTCAAGAGATATCGAAGTTAAAACGGCTTCATGATCGGACGGGCCGCTGGGATTCACTGTACATGACATATTAGCAGGTTCGTAAGTAGTACAAAAATAGTCAAGTAACGTTTCAGAACATTCCGTTATCCTTGTTGGTTCCTTAACATGCATACTTAAATTAAGGGAAACTTATAAATTTTTTAATCGAATAGTACTATCATCATCCTTGAGATAATTTATATTTAAGTCGCCTGTCATATTTAAGTCAATGCTCTTAGAAGTCAAGAACAATAAAAAAATCACATTGCAAGCATTTTCTGTCATCCAGTTTTGCTACTTTCAGTGTAAGTACTTTAGCCACGTGACCGAATATTTACGTTTTTTATCAAAATCCGGTAAATAGCTTGAACGTTTTTTTTTTTTTGGAATATAGGATAATGTTGCAGGCATTTTTTGTGTCGGCGAAAGAATTGATATTATAAAAAAATTTGTTGGTTTTTAATGTGGCCACTTTTTCCAGAAGCTGTACTATAAACGGTTCCTGATATATAGCCGAAATCCATTCTTATTGGGCTACCCGGTACGTACCTACTGATAGCTATGAAAGTTATTTTCATTAGAACATAGCACAAGCCCAATTAATAAATGATATCTAACTAGACCTAGACGTGATATAACATCTAGGGAATATTAGATATAATCAATGCAAGGAATTACTAGAGACACCCATGGGATAGAGGTATATACATTGAGACATATTCATTAATTAAAGCATTCATTTGCTGAAGGAACTCATTTGCAGGAATCGTTATGATTAGAAATTAAACACAACTATTATTTCTCAAGACGTCACATCAACACCGTTCATTACAGTAGGAAATTGTTTGTCTACAACGGGAGCAAGATGCATTTACATGTCTCTCAACAAAACGTTTACAAGGAACGGCAATCTCAATAATAGCAAAGGTTTACTTTTATTTGCTTTGAAATTAACGTTATGCACAAGTTTGTATTATTTGTACATAGTACAACACTAAGGTTTATTTAAAATGTTTAGCAAAAATCAAGCTCTATAAGGGGAAGAATCCCTTTAATTTAAAAAATATCTGAATAAAATAGGGGTTAAGATGGATTAAAATAAAAAAATAGAAATGAAAAACCAAAAGCGATATCAACATGAAGTTTTAATATAAATAAAACTCTATAAGGTAATGAAGCCTATTGATCCTGAAAAAATCTGATTCAAAAGGGTCTATTAAACTGTGAAGAGTATAATATAGAATGCCAAGCATTATATGTCTTCTTTCTAGTTTAACTACTATAATTCTTCCTTATTTGACAATTTGAAAAGGATACAAAATTCAAGCTATATTGTGTTTATAAATATAATTATTATTGATTAATTTTTAACCAAAAACTAAATGTTCAGTCACAAAAAATAATATTTTATTACCTGAGACTTTTTCCTTGTACAGAAACTTGTAACTTGGTCATTAAGCCCATTGCTACTGATCAATCAAGTGCACAAACTAAATTGGATATCATGAAAAATATAGATCCTCTTCATCTTAATATACAGGTGTACCATGTGAAACAAATTAAGGATGGAGGAATTTAGATTGGATGCAAAAATCAGGAGAGTGCCAATAATTTTAGAAATATGCCTAAACGAAGGCTATCTTCTCAGTATAAAATTTCCGAGGCAAAAATATTTGGAACACAAATTAGAATTGTTGGTTTGATGGAGAACTATGAAGTAGATGATATTGTAACACATCTTAAAGGGCAAAATGATGTTTTCAAGGAGGATAACCAGTTGAATGTTTTAAAAGTATGGCTTACCAAGAATGATCCAGATGTCTTTCAAGCCCTCATTTAAGTGGATATTGTTACTTTTGGTGCTATTTTCGTTAGTAAACTATCATGTACCCAGGGTTCCAACAAGGTTACATAACATGTTTTACTTACCCGTTGCGCAAACAAATATACCTACTTTTCACCATTGCATCAAGTATGTGTCAATTATATGAGGTTTCAAAGTGAAACTGACCTGTCTAGCTCATCAGTGATTAAAATTAGGGAAACTATATTGTAGATCGTCTGGTATATGTTCCAATTTAATTGTGATTTTGTAGGCGCCCTTTTTTTCTATTTCATAGTATTTTTTAAGGGCGCGTATTAAATTACTATATCTTAATGTTTTCGATGTATATATTAGTTTTAATTTTGTGAATTACTGTAAGTATATTTTTTATCATTGTATTTTCCCACCCTGTATAAGGCGCATGCTGTTAGGGGGTGTTGTATTACTAAATAAATAAATAAAATAAAAAATGTAACCTACAGACATAAATATTTCAATGTTAAAATAATCTAAACAATAAGCTAAAAATTAAAATTCAACTGAGGAGAAGGCATATGCCTTTCAATATCAGAGTAGAGAATTTTACGAAGCGAATGAGATTTTAACAAAGTATATAGCAAATCCGTTAAACTGGAGTGTTTGGAAATTTTAACAAGTTAATCTGTTGGTTAACGGACTTTTGTGTGAAATGAAAAAATTAAACATTCATTTTCTGATGAAATATCTGTTTGTATACTGGATACATTTTTTTAAATACAGTTTAGGAAAAAAGCGGATGTGTGTTAAGCAATTGTACTCTACAATTTATACACATAAATACACAATCACAAACACCAAAATTATTTAAAATTTTAATAAATTTATACCGTAACAAATGAATTTAATAATTTATTACAATAATAATAATAATAATAATAATAATGACGATTAATTGAAAGGCTTTTTGTAATATAAAATTATATTTGTTTGTTAAATATAGATCTCTGCAAACCCAACATGAAGCGATAATTTTTTGACAATACTTTGTTTTTCCTTCGAGAATTATGCAAATTGTTGTTATTAGATTAAGACAGCACAGCAGAACATTAGAGCATTTCACATTTAAATCCTTTAGATAAAGAAATATGAAATTCGCGAAGGGCAAGCCGAGTCGGTTGCTTATTCATTGTCTTTTAATTACACCCATGGGAAAATAAAAGATATTGAACGAAAATTAAAACGGAATAACTGCCAACTTCTCTTTTTGTTTCAGTGTGTCCCGATTCCAGGATTAGGATTCAGACGCGGAAGCTACAAGTGCGTGTGCCGACCTGGATTTTATTTCCCCGACGTCAAAGCCGAAAGACGTTATTACAATGGTACTGTGTTGGAAGAAGAATACGAAAAACGCATGCTTGTAAGTAGCACTAAATTAATCATAAAAAATCTTACATTATTATGGAAATTAAACCACCACTCGACTTTTCAGCTTTTCACTCATTCGCATAAAATATTAACGTTTTAAAGATCTTAAAGAAAGAGATTTGAAAAATAAATGGAAAACCCTCGTTTATTTATAATTAACTTACAAAGGGTTACATACTTTTAACTTTATTATTTAGGGGTTTTATCTCGAGAATGCAGACAGCGAGTTCTTTTACTGTGCCTTCTTATTTTCTTGAGATAAGTCCAAGACAAGAAACATCGCTTTACCACTTGCAAAAGATTTATTAGACTTTTATTTTGCTAAAATTTTTGTGTCCCTCGTAATTAAAAATTTTTATAACAAAAACCTTTTATAATATTTTTTCCTAAAGTCATCTAAAATCATAAATTATTAAGAACTTGTATTTACAATATTTACAGTTTGAGAAGTTAGCAAATGGCGGACGCTTTTCAAAAATATGGTGTATGCGAGGTAAAATTTGGCGGGTATAATTAAATATTTGGTGCCTAGTTATATAAATTGCAAAAGAAAATGTTACTTGTGCGTGCCACGAAATAATAATGGTAAATAATTACGTAAATATAAATTCAACGGAATATTAATCTAATAATAAAGTATTTTATAAATGAATCCCTCCCCTTCTAAAACAAAAATCCTGGAGATCGCTGAAATATTTGTAATTTTAAATCGGAGCCGCGTAAAAATGTTTGGGAACTTTGCTATAGAGCATTTTGACAAATTTTAAGCAATGTAATAGCTACTACAGACAATTTATCCAGTTTTAATTGACTAGTTTTAATATCATAATTTCAAGATTCAAGAGTGATGATCAGATGGCCAAGTCTTGGTAAATACAGTACATGTAATTATTACTGTTAATTAAAAAATCTGATGTGTCCAACACATGACTTTCCTATCTAGTTATTATAGGCATTTGCCGGTTATTTTGTAGAACCTATTGCAGCATCTCTATAAATGTTTAGAGGATAAACTAAATATATACATTTTACACATACATCTACCTCGAAACATTTTTCTATAGATATTCATTGAAAACGAAAATACAGAAAAATTTAAATTTAGCACTTTTCCATTACGGTCCATTTTAGAAAAATCATGTATAAACAAAAATTATAGAAATCGATATCGCAAACAACTTTTAGTTCAACAATTTTCATAAAAATCAGAATTTTGCACATTTTGTCAAATTTCTCGAATACGGACCATTTCAGGAAATTTTGACATAAAGCAAAAATTATAGATAATAATATTAGAAGTAACTTTTATTTGAACAATTTTCTTCTCCAAACATAAATAACAGATATATTCCATAAAATATAAAAACGGCCTCCCATAAAGTACCCCCCCAGATGTTCCGACTTTGTCCAAAATCTAATCATTTCACGTCAGGCCGAAATAAACCTTAAGTTTAAAATTTAATGTTTTTTCCTTTATCCGTTTTTGAGTTTTCTTCAAATTTCGAAATTTACACATTTTCTCAAATATCTCGAATACGGTCCATTTTAGAGAAATTATGTATAGGACAAAAATTATAGAGAATTATATTATAAACAACTTTTATTTGAACAATTTTTATAAAAAATTATGTTTTTTACATTTTGTCAAATTTCTCGAATACGGACCATTTTAGCAAAAATTTGTATAAAACAAAAATTATAGATAATTATATTAGAAGTAACTTTTATTTGAAGAATTTTCTTCTCCAAACGTAAATAACAGATATATTCCATAAAATATAAAAATGACCACCTATAAAGTACCCCCCCCAGATGTTCCGACACTGCCCAAAATATAATCAGCTCATTGGACGCTGAAACAAAGCTTAAGTTTAAAATTTGGTGTTTTTCTGTGTATCGGTTCATGAGTTATGCGTTATACAGACACACACACACACACACACACACACACACACACACACACACACACACACACACACACACACACACACACACACACACACACACACAGACACACAGACACACAGACACACACACACACACAGACATCATCGCGAAAATAGTCAAAACGGATTCAGGGGACCTCAAAACGTAAAAATCCGTCGAAAACTCGAAGTCGAAAAAAATCATGATTCCTATACTTTCCTTATATCTGTATACAGATAGGAAAGTAAAAAACAATCAAAAATGTGTAGAAAGAAAATTTATCTGGGTAATTTTGGTGATAATTCATTGCTTGTTTTTTGAAACTATTAAAATTGGTTACATCTTTTTTTTTTAAACGAAAATTTACATAACAAACTAAAAGACCTGCGGGGCAACTAATTTAGTAGGTATAAAAATTACAACTTAGGGGTGAGCCTAAATTCTACAAAATTACTTTCGAGACTAAACAAAATCAGCATTCATTTATAATTTTAACAATTGCATGTAGATACGAGGGATACATGTTCTAAACTCTAACGCGCGAAGTTGAGACAAAGGGATCGAAAAATGTTCCACAATAGCACAAAATAATATGTATTTTTCAATAATTCATTGTCTGAGAGTAGAAAAGCGTCCATAGTTTGACAATACATTCGCTTCGTACCACCGATATTCTTTATTCAAAAAGCAAAACTTACAAATACAGGACGCCAATGTAAACGGACAATAAATGGTCTCTTAATATTTTACATTTTTACAAAAACTAGTTTTTAAAAAATATTTCCTATACCTGTTGTTTTTTGTATTCAAGCGGATTTATGATATTCAAACTTGGGGTAGCCATGATTGAGTTAGTTAAATGAAAATGTACTTTGGTTTTATAATATATTATTTATATTTTAACAAAAATTATTTTTGTTGTTTGAATAATCTGTTATAGGTACAGCTTCTGGAACAACTTCATAAAAACCCATACTGTTACTATGGCTATCAGCAGTAAATTGCACAATTAAAAAAATTTATCCATTTGGGCAAAAAATACAAATGAATTAAAAAAAAATGATAGGTAATAAGTGTTTTTTTATCTTACAATGTCGGGTATAAGAAGTTATATAGAAAAAGTTAGTATCCAATATCATCTGGACAAAAAACAAAAACATGTCTAAATAAATATATTAAATAAATTATGACAATACTTTAATAGATACATATTTATTTGTAATATGAAAATATTATTTATGTCAACAAACTTATGTTCAATATATGTAACAATTTGTAAAGATAACTCTTGGATAATGATAATATTCATATTTAATTGTTTTAAAGAACTTGAAGACATCTCAGTTCGAACTTCCTTTTATTGATCATAATACTTTTTCTTTGGAATGAAAGCATTAGTTCCTGTTTTTCAGTTAAGCTTCATAAATCAATTCATATTTTAATCATATTTTAAGTGCAGTAAAGTTGCAACAACTAAACATTATAATGAAATTCAATTTATACTTAGAAATAAGTTAGCTAAAATTTTTGACCGTATGAAGTTATTGAAGTTATAAATAATTATATTACAAAGATTTATATGTGAATTTTTAATTTCTATTGATGTGATAGTTTCTCATCTACGTTTTACAAACATGGCGTCGCTTTGGCACAAAAACCTTTGTAGTAAAACTACTAATCCGAATCAGAATCATGATATTATTATTTGTTAACATAAAAACGTGGTCAACTAGTTAAAATATTTAGTATATATATCAGCAATTGCCACTGCCACTGGTAAAATCTAAAATTTAAAAAAGCGTATTAAAATAGTAAGACATTAAAGACATTAATCATATTTTAAATGGAAAGCTTACTACCATGTCTTAGAAATAAATAAAGTATAACTCCTAAATTAATAAACATATTCCAAATAATTTAAGATTCCTTGCGTCATGTTAATAAAACTTAAACAAAATTTCTCACCATTTATTTACTATTCTGTCCGACACTTCCGTGTCATTATACACAAAATACAAAGCTAGATTTGTATAATGTGCAGCTAGCCCTGAATTTAAAAATACCAATTGTGGTTCTTCTTAATGGTATTATCCTTTTCCCAAAAAGCTATTTCTCTACTTCATATTCCTTCTTCTATAGTCAACGCTCTAGCTCCATATGGACATTTTAACTCTATCATAGAGTTTTGTTTTTTTTTTTAAACTCCATTCGTACTAGCAGCAACATATTCAAATTCGGAATCAATAAAAAACACATTTAAAAACTTTTTCTTGTAAATAAATTTCCAAATCTTATTTTGCTCTGGATTTATTGTCCATGCCATATTGGGTGGCTTTAGCAAAAAATAAAAGATTTTGTGAGATTTTTTAAAGAAGACGTTTCATTGTTTTACAAATTTCTACACATTTTGAAGTAGTGACACCGTTTCGTCTTTCATTATGTCACAATGCACAATCAGCTTGATCTTGTGCCACAATAATTTTTTTCTCATCTATAGACATTGGCAAACTTTTTAGACATTTTTTTTTGCAACGCGTATCAAAGAGTGCGACAGATCAAAGCCATGCGCGAAAGCAAGAAAAATGATTTACTTAGTTCGAAAAAATATACATTACTTTAACAGATTAAATAGTTGTTAACATGCTGGAATTAATTATTCTTAACTCGAAGATGTATTCATTAAAAAAACCTCCCGTGCAATATAAAATTTATAATTCACATGATACTGTAGACTTTTTAATTTCGAATATATTTTTTTAATAAATAAATTATAAAATTAATTTAAAATAATTGATCGAAATTACTGTAAGTAAAAAATAACAAAGTGTGCAGATATAAAACAAAATAAATTTAAATCACTTGCGTACTATTTATCACTTGTAAATAGTAGAAAAGGATATACATTTTTTTTTGTGTCACCCTCTAGACGAAAAAGCTTTTAACGTATTTTTCTTTATTGTAAGAAAAATAAATGCTCCTCTAGGTAAAAATTAAATATATCGTTCCCTTCTAGCATTTTTATTTGTATTTCTTTTCGTTAGAAAGACATCTGTTTAGATTTTTTCA